ACAGCAGGACCCTGCCTGCGAGCCCTGGGCACCCACACCGGTTGCTGCAGGGGGATTGGGCTGGAGATGGGGATGTTGCCCAGGAGCCAAGTCGAGGGGTGCCATGGCAGTGGGGCACTGACTCAGCAGGGTGCTGGGCTCCTGGAGCACCCTGCTCCACCTGTGCTCCACCCTGCAAGTGCCCACTGCCTGGCTCTCACTCCCAGCTCTGGGTGTTACAGCAAACACGGGGAAGCCGGTGCCATAAGGAGCCCTGATACAGCTCGTCCCTGTGGCCAGCTCATGCCCAGATGAACTCATCACACATCCCACACTGCAGCTGGGGCCTCTTTCTTTGTTCCAGCCCCATTCCTGCCCCTGCAGCTGCTTTTCCAAGGCCTGTACAGCAGCTCCAGCCCACAGCACCTGCTCTGAAACACCCCCTAGCATGTGCACCCCCTGAACAGCCTTGGCACCCCTATTTCCCTCAAGCCTGCAGCTCTCAGCAGTGGCTGCCAGGCACCCTGGCACCCAGTTCTTTCCCCCCAGGACCAACATAGCTGGAGCAAAGCTGGGGAAGGCTTCTCCCATGCATTTCCCTCAGGCTGCCCTGAAGAAGTGCCCTATGCGGTTTTCATGAGCTCACAGGCTGAGGCAGTGAGGAGAGGAACGTGCCCAGGCTGCCAAGCTGCCTCTCCCAGACACAACAGTGCAAGTGGGGGCTTGTTCCAGCTCCACTGCAGCCCCAGGGGTGTTAGGTGCTGAGCTGCGTGCCACTGCTGCAGCCTTTGCCCTCACCCATCCCTACCTCATCCCAGAGCCCCTTGGCTGGCTATGAGGGATGTGTTGAGTGACAGGGTGGCCGGGTAGGTAGCACCATAGGAGGAAGCACCAGCCATCATCTCACCCTGATGCAGGTGCGCAGGCAGGCTGGGGCTGTGAGAAACAGCACGAGGTGTCTGTTGCAACACGCTTATCTGCTGCCCATCGCCCTGTGCTGGTCCTGGGAAGCTGCAGGGGCGGCTGAGTGGAGCCAGCTCCCAGCCTTGCAGCCCTGCTCCAGCACAGGGGCACAGTGGCAGAGCAGGCTTGCTGGCAGCAGTGACACAGGAGGGGGGCAGAGTGGCACATGGCATATCCCCGCTGCCTCTTGGCAAGGGAAGCTGGACCTGCTGCTGCTTCAGGGGTGCCTCTGCTTGGCCTGCAGGTGGATTTTGGGGATGTGGTAAAGGGATGTGTTCCCATGCTGACCCCAAGCTCTTATTCTGCTCAGTGCTCAGCTCATATCCTGCGCTGGGGTTTGGATGCATCCCCGCTGCCATCACTGTTTGAGCCCCCACCTTGTCTCCCCTCCATCTCCCTGGGCACCATACCCCAGCTGCTGCCTGCGGAGAGGAATAAATCACCGAGTGGGGCTACACATTGGGAGCAGGGGAACAAAATCGCTTTTCATGCCATAATCCTTTGTAATAAAGCACCAGAGGAAGAAAGACGATAAACAATGTCTCCTGTGTGAGCCAGCTGCTTCCCAAAATAAAACACTCCTCTCCGGCATCAGCTGCCCCGGCTTGGCCACAAGTGCGGGCACCGCTGCGCGACACCGGAGCTGCGTTCCCGGTGAGATCAAGCGCTCCTGCAGCTCCCGGCATGGCCCCACAGCCTGTGGGAATCTGCAGAATGCAGCTGGGGGGTCAGAAACGAGCAGTTCAGGAGGGGGCTGCGAGCCTGCGAGGGGCTCAGCGCCGCAGGCACCAGCCACGCACATGCCACTTGGCCAAGGCATGCGACAAAACTGCTCCCACCCGCACCCAGCAAGTGCAGGGAGCACTGGGGGGGCTTGGTGTGGAGCTACCCGGCTTATTGAGAGCTGGGTGCTGGCGGGAGCCTGCTTCTAGCTGCAGCTCTGGAGGAGAGGGCAGGAAGTGCTCCTGGCGCACCATTACTCAGGCTAAGCCCTTGCTGGCAGGGGGTGAGTAACTCGTGCTGGTAAACCTGACCTCCCGGGCACTCCTTTGAGAGCTGCAGTAACTCCCCTGCTGCTGGGGCAGGTGTTGGGGTGTGCTGAGTGTGGCTCTGCGAGCCAGCACGAGTGATTCCCAGTGCCTGGAGGTGCCTGGCTGGCTCGGCTGCTGCCTTTGCACAGATGAGGCAGGGATGGAGGCTTTCCTGCCCCAGGGCCATGATGGGGTCTCTGGCCACCACAGGAGGGGGACAACTTGTGTTTTAAATCCGTCCCATGTCACCAAGTGTCCCCAGGGGATGGCCTGGTCTACAGTACCACATTGGTGACTTCCCATCAGCTCCATTCCCAAAGGACCCTGGGGAGCTGCTCACACAACACTTTCATTTCCCCATGTCTCCTCTGCTTTCCTCTTTCACAGCCAAACCTAAACCTAAACCTATCCCTGTGCCCTCACAGACACACGTATCCTCCCCAACTCCCATCTGAGCTTTCCCCTGGCAGCTCATGCTTGCTGCCCCCTCACCTCCCCTCTCCATCGTTGCCGTTGTGGGATTTGCCCTTGGCCGTGTGTCCATGGGGAGACCTGGGGGAAAGGCTGACCCGAATGGTGCAGAGGAGGTGACAGGTTTTCCCTGGGGATACAGGGAGTGGTGGCTGTGGGAGCTGCAGCATAGCCTGGCCACACCGCCTGGCTTTGCCTGCTCCTGTTTGCTCTGGTGATAAGCCTCTCAACGGGGTGTTTGTTTGGGTGCCTGGTGCAAGGCCACAGTCACCTCCTGCAACGATGGTCCTCCACACCAGTGTATATGATATGGGGCCGAAGGGTCTCCTGGCTGAGTCAGAGGGGACGGAGCCACAGTGGGGACAGATGGCAAGCCCTGCTCTGAATTCACCCCATGCTGCTGATCACCAGGTATTTGCCCAAATTCCTGCTGTGTGTGACTCAGCCTCCTCCTCCCTCGTATGCAGCCTGGCCACAGCTCAGCACCCAACCCAGGGATGGGAGGAAATCGCCCTGGGAGCAGTGGAATGGGGCCCGGCTGGGGCTAGGGAGAGGCATGGATATTGCCAGGAGGAGCTGACATGTGTAACTTAGCTGATGTCCAGTGAGGGAAGGTGGCATCGAGTCCACCAGGAAGGCCCAGCTTCAGGATGGCATCCTCCAGGCATGGGTAGCTGCAGGAGCCACCGCATTCCTAGGGGATATCAGCCTGGCAGGCATCCTGGTCTCCCACACCACTGGCAGCCCTGTGCCCATGTGTGCCAGGATGATAAAGGGAAGGTCTAGGGCAGAGAGGAAGGGAAAGTGTTGATCTAAAGGGCTTTTCTTTAATGGCTTTCCCCTTACTGGCTAATCCTCTGCTGGCAGCAGGGACATTTTGGGCACTGGGCTGCAAAGCAGCTTTCTCTTTATCCCCAGACCCAAGCATACAGGGTTTGGGCAATGTGTGCACCCTGTGCACCATGCTGGCAGGGGTGTGGGTGGGAGAAGTGCCTGCACTGATCTCATTTCAAGCAGCCACAGTGAAAAAGCAACCCAAAAGGCTCACTGAGGAGAGATCAGCTCTGGTACTTCATGTTTCTGTCCCAAAAGCTTCACTTGGTTCAGCTCATGCTCTGGCTTTCAGGGACAGGGGAAGGGCTCAGGCTAGCTTCAGCTCTGGGTTTGACCTGACTCACAGATTGGGCACATCAAGTGGCCAAGGGATCGCAAAGCCTCTTGCAGGAAGGGAACCGCTGAAGCAGCGAGGAGGTCTTTAACCTTTAGCGGTCTGCAAGCCCTGCCTGTGCTCCCGAGCCAGCTCTTGCTGATGGGACCTCTCCTGACTTCTGCTTTCACAGCAGGGTTCAAAGAGGTCCCCTGCACCCTCCACAGTGAGAGAAACCACCCGAGGCAGTGTCAAGCCCTGCCAGGGTGATGAGGGGGTGCTGCTACCAGAAACCTTGTCCCACGTCCAAGGTGAGGTGTTGTCCTGGGAACATCACCATGCCGAGGGAACACGGCCACCCTGGCACGCACTGAGCTTCCCAGTGCTCACCCCACTGTAACAGCAGCCCCAGCATCACTCCCTGCTGCCCTCACCCCATGGAAAACCCTGCCCCGACAGCACACAAACACCAGCATCTTACCTGCAGCTCCTCTGGTTCTGCTTCTGAAGGGGTGAAGGCACTTGCAGGCACAGGAGCAGTGTTATTCGCAGCCCTTGGCAGGCAGCATGGGTGGAGGCAGATCAGCACCATGTCCAGGCAGGCACAGCAGCCCCGTGCTTGTCTCCAGCTGACCAGGCTCACTAGGGACACAGGCCAAGGCTGTTGGTTGGCAAGCCTGCCTCCACCACCTCCATAAGCAGCCTGCTCAGTGACCCCGCAGGCCAAAGGGGAGGTGAGGAGATGCTGGCAGCACCCAGGGAGCCTCAGCATAGACCTGGAGGCACCATCAGACCTCAGTTCCCCCTTACCTCCTGTGCTGGAGGCAAACTGCAGGACACAGGGATCTCTACTCCTGCAAGACAGGGCTAGGATCAGACCTGAGGGGTCTGCTGCATGGATGCATCCTTACAAGGGTACAGAAACCTCCTCCAAGGGTGGTGGTTGGCTCAAGGTGGACAGAGGCTACCAGGCTGCAGCACCAGGTCCCAGGCCAGCACAGGCACCTCCAGCCATGCAGGCAAGGAGCCAGCTCAACCCCACAAGTGACATTTCAGGCAGGGGACTCCAATCTTTTTGAAGCAGGAGGCTCAGCCATCAGGTAGGAATGCCCCAAGTTAGCACCTGCTAGAAGATGCACCAAGAAACTGCTGCAATGGTGGGATGACCAATAGAAGAGCAGCCGCAGCCAGCTGAGCCCCCAGCAATGCCCCCAGCTCTGGTCACCAGGAACTGAGCCCTACAGTAACACCTCTAAGGACTCACCCCCGAGGGAACCATCCCATAGAGCCCTTTGAGCAACACCAAACCACCAGCCCTGCCACAGCACCAGGCAGAGACCTTCCCACCCCCCGGGGCAAGCAAAGCTGCAGGCTGAGCAGCTACCAGGGAAGAAGCCAGAAGCCATGGGTAGGCCATTACATTTTTTATTTTATAATAAACTTCTCATTTTTCCCCCAAGGAAGACAAAAAAACGTGAGTGAGGCTACAGAACACCATCAGTGAAGAGTATGCGAGACAGACCCAGGCCGTGGGCCACAAAGCATCACCCACTCCCCAGGCAGATGGGCTCCATCCACAGGAGCTTCCACAGCCCTTGCTCATCTCCCCACCACATCAGAGCAAGACCAGCGCTGTCAACTGGAGGTGGCTGAGCAGCAGAGATGGACTCGGGTCAGGCTATTGATGGACTGAGAGGGCCACGCTTTGTTCCCCCAACCTGCCATAGCTGCCAGCGAGGTGGGGCAGTGGGTTGGGTGATGCTGCTGCTCCTATACATGTACATGATAGAAATTTAAAAAAAAACCACATGATTTAATTCAAAATGAACAAAAAAAGAAAATCAAGTGGTTGCTCTTCCCGCCCGGCCATCTCGCTCTAGGAAGACTTCACACATTCCTTCTCCTGCTCAATAGCTGCAAGAGAAGAGAGGTCCATTAGTCCCTGGGGGTTTCTCATGGAAGCACCCACTGGAGAAGTCTGCAGAGCAATCCCTCAGGCCGTGGTGCCCAGTTCTATGGTTTAGATGCACGCTCCAAGTCAGACACACACAAGGATGACACCAGGTTGGGCACCCGCCTTCAGCTCTCAGGGAAGCCCTGCCCTGGGGCAACACCTCGATGGCACAGCCCTCTGCATCTGACCGTGCCCTGAGCCTCGCCTCCTGACAGCGGTTTCCTCCGGGTAAAACCCAACTGCCCCAACCCACCTCCCTCCACCGGCGAGACCAGCACCCCAGGACACGGACCGCACCGGCCAACGGGTGCCCGCCGCAGCCGCGCCCTGCCCGCCGCCCCTCGCACTCACTCTCCTTGGAGGGCAGCGTGTTCTTCTCCTCCGTGTTGGTTTTCTTCAGCTTCTTCTTGTCGAACTTCTCCACCTCGGACAGGTCTGGCTTGTCGCACATTTTGCCTGCGAGCACCGCACCCCCCGCTCAGCCGCGGGCAGGGGGAGCGGCAGACAAAGGCGGCCCGGCCCCCGCCGCGGACAATAGCGCAGGGCGGGGCGCGCCGCTCCCCCGGCCCCGGCCAGCCCCGCACCGACCGGGCGGGCAGCGGAGCGGCTCCCGGTGCCCGCACCCACCGGGGGGACACCCGCCCGCAGCGCCAGCCGCGCTCCCTGCGGCACCGCCCGCAGCCCCCGCCCAGGGAGCCCCGACCCGCGCCAGCCCCGCACGCAACACCCCCCCCCCGGTACCCGCACCCCGCAGGACCCGCACCCCCCGGGACGCGCCGCCGGGTCCGAACCTGGTGCGGAGCTGCCGCGTCCCGTCCCGCTGCGCTTCCAGGTGAGGCTGGCGGGCTCGGCGTGGGGCGGTGCCTTATATAGCCCGGCCACCGCCCAGCCTGCCCGCCCGTTGGCTGCCCGCCGCCCGCGCCGCCTCATGGGAACTGTAGTCCGCACATGGCTGCTGCTCCCCCGCGGCGCCCCCGGGAGAACTACAGCTCCCGACGTGCACCGCGGCGCGGGGAGGACAGGGCGGGGGTGCGGCCGGGAGTGTCACCCGCGGTGGGAAGACATGGACAGGGCTCCGCATGGACACCAGCGCCGTATGAGCATCGATCCGTATGGACACAGCTCTCATACAGACACCGCTCCTGCGTGGACACTGATCCATATGGACACAGCTCCTGTATAGAAACCGCTCCTGCACGGACACTGATCCATATGGACACAGCTCCTGTATAGAAACCGCTCCCATATGGACACTGATCCATATGGACACAGCTCTCATACAGACACCGCTCCTGCATGGACACTGATCCATATGGACACAGCTCCTGTATAGAAACCGCTCCCGTATGGACACTGATCCATATGGACACAGCTCTTATATGACACTGCTCCTGCATGGACACTGATCCATATGGACACAGCTCCTGTATAGAAACCGCTCCTGCGTGGACACTGATCCATATGGACACAGCTCCTGTATAGAAACCACTCCTGCGTGGACACTGATCCATATGGACACAACTCCTGTATAGAAACCGCTCCCGTATGGACACTGATCCATAGGGACACAGATCCCGTATAGACACCACTCCCATATGGACACAGCTCTCTTATAGACACCACTCCCACATGGACACCAATCCATATGGACACAGCTCCTGTATAGACATTGTGCCTGCATGGACACTGCTCTGCATGGGCGGCAGCTGCCCTCAGCATCACACCCACCCTTGCTGCCTCCCCACATGTGGGTGCCAGCTGTGAGGAGCAGCAAGGTGATCCCCATAGGATCCCAGGGCACCGTCCCAGCCGCAAACCCTGCCCAGAAGTAGGTGCCCCACATCCATGGGGCTCCAAAGGGATGCACCAGTCCCCCACAGCTCTGGGCTGAAGCAGAACTAGCCTAGGAAAGCAAGCTCTGGGGATAAAAATAGCCCCGTGTTTTCACAGCTGGGGAGATGCTCAGCCTGCGGCTGCACTGGCTCCAGCCACAGTGCTGCCTGTGGAGATCTGGTCTGTAAAGCAGCAGTGGGCAAGGAGCAGACCCTGCTGACAGAGGCCTCACTTGGCTGTAGCAAGGCAAGATGGTGCAGAAAGCATGGAACCACCAGCACAGATCAGATGGGCTGGAGTGCAGGTGGGAAAAATACCTTTAGGGTGTAAATGCAGGCAGCCCATGTGTTCCCGTCTGGGCTGGGGAGCAGGAAGGGCGCTGGTGGTCCAGGGGGCACATCCACACTGGCCACCAGGATGGGGTGTTTGGAAGGTCAGGATCATAGAATCACAGCATGGTTTGGGTTGGAAGGGACCTCAAAGCTCATCCAGTTCCAAGCCCTGCCACAGGCAGGGACACCTTCCACTGGAGCAGCTTCCTCCAAGCCCCTGTGTCCAACCTGGCCTTGAACACGGCCAGGGATGGGGCAGCCACAGCTTCTCTGGGCACCCTGTGCCAGCGCCTCAGCACCCTCACAGGGAAGAACTGGGAGGCCTTGCAGTAGGATCCTCCAGGTGCTGAAGGGAATGAGGAGGGAAAACCACCACCAACCCTTCTGCACCATGAGCAGGAACCTGCTGCGAGCACCATGGGTACCGGCTGTGCTGCAGCAGCTCCCTTGCCTGCCAGGCTCTGGGGCTCTCTCCAGGCTTATGGGAGATTTTGCAGAGAAAATCCCCAACAAGCCCGAGGAAACACTCGCTTTGTGTTCGAGCTGCACCTTGGGAGTGGGGCAGCAGCGCCAGCACATCTTGGCCTGAGGTGGCCTCTTGTCCTGAGGATACAGGCACCTTCCAGCTCCAGCCAGCAAACAGGCTCTGAATTGAAGAAATGCCAGTGTTCATGCACACAGCAAAGGCAAAGGCCAAGACCTAAGGCCAGTATTAAGCTGTGGTTGCTACTCTGAGAGCAGTCTGAATGGCAAACAACTGCTGGTCCCTCTCTGCCAGGAGCTGCTGTAGGCAAAGCCCCAGGCCAGGTTTGGAGGGTGCCCCACAGCCAGCAGGAGCCAGCCCAGGCAGAGCTGCCCCCACAGCATCCTTCCAGCCCCCCCCCCCCAAAGCCCAGCCTGCACTGAGAAACAGCTCAGTTTTTCCTGCACAGCCAAAAGGAAACAAACCCCCCCACCTCAGTTTCCAAACGAAAGCAGGAAATCCTTTTTGCCTTCATGCAAATCATCAGACGAGTGTTTCACGTTGTGTTCACCCTCCAGCTGTGCTGCCTTCCCCCTCTTCCCTGCCTGCTCTCCACATGCTTCTCCTTGGCGGATGCAGCACAGCCTCCTGTGGCTTTTGTCCCCAGCAGGCAGCGAGTGTGCAAGAACCTGGTCCCCATCCGCATCCACCCCTCGCCAGCGCTGGCTGCACCCACCCAGCCAAGGTGCAGCCCTGGGTGATGGCTCCATCCCCTCCACACTGCGGCGTGCTGCGAACGGGGTCTTTGTCTGCCCAGGCACAAAGCCCCTGCTGCGGCCATGCTCCAACAGGAGCTCCCCCTTCCCTGAGCCGGCCACGCTCCTACAAACCACAGCCAGGGCAGCCTTAGAGCCCTCTGCACTCCCAGCAGCAAGGCGTGGGGAGCCTTTACAAGCCATCCTGCATAGAGAACAAGAGAGGGGTTTATATCCCACCAAGAGCTCTTTTCCCCCATGACAAATCTGCAAAGCCCCATAACTGCACAACCTGCTTCTTCCTCATGTGGTTTGGTACTTCTGCTTTCAGTAATGGATAATGAAAGAACAGAGAAGGGGAAAGCACACACAGCTCTGACTCGAAATAAAACAGAGGGACTGCAGCCATTTTGACGAGGTTTAAATCTCCCTCAGAAGGCTGTCGGGGCTCAGACACAGCCTCAATTCACAGCCATGCCCAGGAATTGCTTCATTCCCTTCACCTGGTGGTTTTCTCTCTGATCACTTTATTTCCATCTCCTCCTTACAGGGAGAACCAGGCCCTGAGCCCCTTCAGCCACCACTGGGCCATGAGCCAGCCCCACAGCTCCCAGTTGACATCTTCCTGCCCATCTACAACCCCATCCTCCCTCCAGACCACTGCCTTCTACCAGCACAGGACCGGAGACCCTAGAAAGGCAGCCAGCACTTGGGGCTGCTCTCACACCAGGGCTCACTCCTCCCATGGATTCTACCACTGCATTCAGTTCAGAAAGGGACTGTTAACTCTGACTGATCCCCCACTGCCCATCACCACCGAGGCAAGCTGCTGCCTTCTCCAGATCATAAACACCAACCCTCGAGCTGAGGAATCACCTGCACACTGTAATGCACAGGTAGAAAAGGAAGGAACTGCTGCTGCAAGCAATGTGGAACGTGTCTCATCTTGCCCCCAACAGCAAAGTGCTCTGCCTGCAAGGCAAACCCAGCTTCGAGCGGCTCCAGGCATCCCCACCCTGCATTAGCTTCAGCTACCCAGGCACATGAACATTCATATTTGCTCCGCTATGCAGGTTTCCCCCTACCTGTTACGTGAATGGATTTGCTCAGGTACATCACTGAACAGTGCGAGAGAAGCTCCACCACCAGCTCCAAGAATTAAGTCCAGGAAATCAGACACAGAGAAAAGCCCCTACCAAGGGGAGCAGCTTGGTCCCAAGCTTTTCCTTCCATGTGATGTGAGCACAGCCACGCTGGACCTCACTGTCAAGAGGTTTAAACCAGATGAGCTTCCAAGGTCCCTCCCAGATGATGCTCTACCAACACGATCTGCCTTGCAGGTGACCCATCCCCTCTGTCAGGGTTTTAGAAGCATTTCCAGGCAGAGGCCATGGTTTTTAAATAAAAGTTTAATTCCTTCATCAGGTTTAAACACAAACGCTGCTGAAAATCCTGCTCAATGCCCCGGCTCTGGGCTTGCAGGGCACTGGCAGTGTGGCAGCAGGGGCTCCAAACACAGGAGGCAGGAATCAAGACTCTCAGTAGAGCTCAGTGCAGGATGCAAAGCAAGGAAGCAAGAGACACACTTTCTGGACAGACACCAAATCTTATACATAAAGAAAAGCCCCACACTGTAATAGAAGTAGTAACGTTGCCACAGAACAGGAGTTGTAGGAAGGGAGAGAAGTCTTCAGTAAAAGGCACAACTAAGGAAGTACTTCCCTAGATCTTAACCAAGTCTTCCAGTTAGCTCCACTGACACCCCAGCCCCCAGCCTCTCACAGCCATGCTGGTTACCCTAGCAAGTCATTTCGAGTTCCTTATTTTCCCTTTTTCCCTTCCTCAAAAACAAATAGGAGTGCTTATAAAAACCAGCACATGATGTAAGAGCTCAGTCTATAACCCCACAAGAGTTCAAGAGAGACTTAACAGTTTACCTTATGATTGTCTGGTACAGTTACTCAGTATTCAAGTTTCAGGTGATGCCTATACCCAGGAACCTCAGCCAGCTCTAGTTTTGGTATTTTTCTTTCAGGCACTTTGCTGCCTGTCAGGTTGGTGCTGGATCCATGGTTTTCCCAGTACTATGTACCACCAGCCTCTCCAACCCATCGCTGTAAGCACCCATTAGCAGCATCAGACCCACTCCAAAGCCTTCTTCAGGTTTTGTAGTCCCGCAACCTCCTATGTTCCTTGGTTTAAGACCTTTTGCAAGAAGCAACTTTCAAGGCAAGGCAGACAGTGATCAGGGCAAGCAACCAGAATGTGTCAGTAACTTACAGGACAACAGGATCGCAGGCAATGAGAGGCTAAGACAGCTGGACACAAAGCTGTTGCGTTTTAGGCCACCCAGTGTCTGAGCAGGCACTTGCTAGATGCAACAACCAAGCTACTATGGGATAAAGAGGCTCAGTTTACGAGTGTACTGGTAAAAAAAGGATCCAGGATTTGTACAGCAAGTCAAGGTGCAGCTGCAGTCCATGGCAGCACCCTTCCCATCACTAGCAAGGCC